TTCCTTTTTTTTTTCTCTTATTTTTTTTTTTTTTTTTTTTAATTTCTACTGAGTCCAGCGTATTTTTGTGAAGACAGAGGAGGGTGATTGGCAAGCTACAGTGGTGGAAGTTCTAGCTGTAGATGAAACAAGCAGTAATGGCGACATTCCAGTATGGAAATTTCCAAAGGGTAGATTTGTGTGGATTCCCTGAAAACCGAATTCCAGTTTCCTCTCAAATGTCTAGAGTGTTTGTTTCAAATATACAAGACGAATCATTTTGGGCTCCAGATTCAAAATGGGTGGGTGGCGTGCCTGTCCTTGCCTAAGTTAATAAGCACCTTTAAGCTGACGCAGGGACTGGAGGGGGCTTAAGGCAGGACGCGGGTGAGACTGCGCTGGTGGCAGAGTGCAGCGAGGCTGCAGTACTCTTTGAAATACTCTTTTTGTACAAAGTGCAGGGGCAAACTGCCAGGTGAATTACCTCAGCCTGTCTTTGAGATAAGAGAAACAAAACTACCTCTGAAAGTCCTGTTTGAAATATTTTGCTTAAAACCCAGGATTATTGTTTTTTGGTCACCTCAGAAAAATGTCAAAAGCAGGTTGTTGTTCTGATGGATACAGCAGAAGACATACAGACATAGAAATCAGCAGGGTTTAGGTGGGGTTATTGTTATAATTGCCTCTCACTTCACATTGAAATCAAGTCCAATTGCATAGAGCTTTGCTAAGTTTAAACATGCAGACCCATGGTAATTTCTTTTATCTTCTGGCCTGTATTTGCGCAGTTAAGCTTCCCAGTGCCTCTGGCTCTGTTTAGTTATGCTTCGGCCTGTGATTAAGTGCTACTTGCCTTACAATTCCCAGGAGTAATTTGAGTTCTTTACTGAAGATAAGGAGATCCTTTTTATTGTGCTTTGCTGTCTTTTGTGTCTGTTTTACTTTATTGTCTACTTCTATCCGTGTCCTCCCTAGCTAAACACAGGCAGATTAGAGAAGGAACCTGCCTGCTGCAGATGCTGATGGCAGTGGGAGGAGGCTGGGTTTGTGGCATGACACTGCATGGGAGCAGGAGCAGACTGGGAAAAGGGGAGACCGGCAGGATTCATTGGGACCCCACTGTCCAGGAAGAGACTAAAACTGGCTAAGAAAACCAAGGAAGACAGAAAATAGCTGCTCAGGGGCCCTGGGATTGATAATTATTTAAACAAGGGAAGAGGGGTGGTGATGGGAAAGAGCACTGGTGGAGGGGCCAGACTGCAGGGAGGAAAAAACGGGTACGGAAATTTAGTCAAGAAGTAGGAGAGGAAAGGAAGGGAATGCCCTAGGTCTGGGTGATGACCGGGACCACTTAGATAAGGTCTAGGAGTTGCTGAGGAGATGGGCGTGGGCCAAAACAAAACCAAGAAAGAAAGTAAATTAAATTAGCGGCTAGAAAGAAAAGGTAGATTGAGGCACAGATAGACAAGGAGACCAAAGCTGGAAGCTGGTATAGAAAGGGGAGCAAAATTTTTAAGCTGTGAGCCTGAGATTTGCTGGGTAAAGGGTTTGGGGTTAAGAACAGCAGCTTGTTACACAGCAAAGATGAGCAATGGGAGCAGAAATGTGGCTGGGAGAGGGAATAAAGGGTAGAGCAGGGCCCATTACAAAGTCAGAGCAACCTTTCAGCCAGAACTGGGAACAGAAATTAAAATTCTGATTCTCCTTTTTGTGCTTGGCCACTGTCTTGCTACATGTCCTTTTCTTCCCCCTTGCCCTAATCCATGTAGAGAGATGTAGAAGCACAGGGCAACAGCAAGTTTTATTACTTCAAGTGGTTATACAGTGCATGCAAAAGTTCAATGTAGCTTTTTTAATTCACTTTTTTAATTTAGGAAATTAAACATGCTAAATAATTAAGTCATGGTACATTATTAAGGTTGTCTGCAAGACTGAATTGGCGCTCTTGTATGTTAATTACAATACAGCTGTTAACTGTATGTTCTGGTACCGCTTTATCTTCGTATTTCTGTTTGGTTTTACATTTTCGCATTTGATATTGCATGGAAGAACAGGATGACTTTTAGGAATTGAACTGTTTATTCATTCACTGTCAAGCTATCTTTAGGTACCTTGGGTATCCACTCTTTATCGGCTTGTGATAGTATCAAACTGGTAATTATCTGGTTTAATACAGCTATTTCACCCAATAATCATATTTTCTAGTGCAAAATTTGCATCAGATTTTCTTAGTGGAAACAATTAGTCTGATATTCCAGAAATGATATAATACTGTGTGATAATTGAGTAGCTTCTCCTCCTCGTGCAAATTTAGGACTGAGAAATCATTTACAGCGTGATGTTCTTAATACACTTGTTGTTGCAGGGTTTTTGCTTGGGTTACTTTAGTTTAAAGGAACTATTTAAAGCAACTATCTTTTTAAGCACAATGGTGTTAATACACAAACTATAGCAGAAATGGAAGACATTCTGCAGTCACCTCAGGGGAGAAATTAGTTAGTTATTTGTAGTTGGTGCTCACTGGTAATCAGCTGTAATGCTGATTAGATGTGCAGAAAGCCTGTCATATCCTAAAGGAACTGAGTTGAGACCGCGGTGTGAAGAGTGCAGTGGCTGACCCGCTGTACTGTCAGAGAGAAACAGCTGGTGGCTGACGAGTGACTTCTGAACATTGCCTTACAGAAATCAGGAATGGGAATCTAAAGGCGATCTTGGGCCTTTTCTTCAGTTTATCTCGATACAAGCAACAGCAACAGCAGCCACAGAAACAGCAACCACAACACCATCCATCCCAGCAACCTCCTCCCCCAGTGTCCCAGCAAGCAGGGCCTCCATCCCAGTGCCAGGTCGGGCTACTGCAGCAGCAGGTGCCGGCTTCGCTCCAGACTCCGTGCCAACAGCCCCTGCAAGCTGCGCAGCATCAGTTCAAAGCACAACCAGAAATGCAGTCAAGGTGGGGAAATTTCCTTCAAGTTGGTTTTTTTTTTATTATTGTTTATTTCTTTTGTTTCTTCTTGTTAAAGGTCTTCAAAAGCCAAAGAAACTTTTTTTCTTTAGTTCTACTCTAGAATAAATAAATAGTGTGTTGGAAATCGAGTGCTGGGTAGCAGTTGACTTCACACCTTTGGAAATCAAAATAAATGTACTTAAATACGTTCTCTGTGCTGGAAATATGCAGTTCAATGGGTGTAAAATATCTGCTAGACCAAGTAACCATAGTGTTTTATAAGGACATTTTTCTCAGTATTCTTTTTGATTCTTTCTACTCACAAAGCACATATATCGTTGCCATTACAGAATATATACTTTGGGCATGTGAAAACCAACTTTGGTTCTCAGTTTACAAGAATTTCAGTCCTAAGAAGCGGAAGGCTCTGACAGTGGTAAAAGAAATAGAGCTCATTACGGCTGATGATGGTCAAAATCACATCAAGGCTTATTGGTCAAAAATAACATGCTGCTGGCTTACATGAAAAATAATTTTCACAATTGGTGTTTGTTGGTGCTCCGAGACCAGAATACAGATAAGTAGAGAGAGTCTTTGTCCCTTGTCTGTCTTTAATCCTAGGGCTGCTCTTTCCAGGTTAGAATAAAAGCAATTTATGAAGGCAGTACCACCATGAACACATGTACAGCCTTGTCTGACCCTTCCACTGCTAGGAGGGTGAGGGTTTTAGTGGGGATAAGTGGCCAGGATTAAAGGCTAAAGCCATATTTGCACAATTGCTAAAGTATGAAGGCTTTTTTTTTTAATATCTCAAATTAAGTTAGGGCTTATTTGTGTTAAAATAACACATAAGGCGAACACTAGCTTAAGTGCTGCTTTATGAGAAGTATAAACAGTTTAAATGAGGCCTTCCACATGAGACTACTGAGAGCTTACTTGGTTTTTGCTTATGTCTGTCTTCATGAATCGTGCTTTTGGGTGGAAACAATGTTTTTGTATAATTGAAATAGTGTTGCTACAGCATGTATAAACTTGTTCAGGAAATAATTACTCTAAAACAAAGATGTATTTGAACATATTTCTGTGACTTTTCTGTCAAAAACATGCAGAGATACTTGGGACCATTTGAATATTGCTTTGATATTTTCAGTCCATTATGTGGATTGTGCTGGGTTTCAAATAATTCAAAAATATCTAACCTGAAGGGCTTAAATGTCATGTTTTCTTAGCATATGCTAAAGTGAAATTGCTCAGATTCTGCAGAAAAATACATATAATAAAAGACTGAGAAAGAAAAGAGTAATAAAGTTGGGGTATGCATGCAGAATTGCATGTTTAATACTCTCTAAGAGTTAATTCATTTCCAATTTTAGGAGTTTTGACATGAAGGTATACTTAGGCAAGAAGCTTTTTTTTCCTGTGAAATTCATAAAAACTTTTTCCTCCCTTAAACTAGTTACTGAGTTCAGTGGCTTTTAAAAAAAAAAAAAAAGTTTCTCTGTTCAATGTTATCTTCCACTTTTTCTTTCCTGTCATACAGTGCATCTCCCAGGGACTCATCTCAAAGCAAAATCATCCGATTCACTCTTGGTCAGAAAAAGTCTTCTAGGTTAGCACTTCTTCATCTTCTGCAAAGCATGAATAATCCTTTTGCAGTATTTCTGGATGCATGTGTAGGGTTCCCATTGAAAATATTTACCTCCTTGTTTGCAACTAGGCTTTCTACAAACAGGTGAAATGTGGAAGTGTCAGACGGATTTTAATTTTTTTCTTTTTTTTCAAGGTGTGGAATGCATTTTGGCCCGCAAGAAAATAATTCGGTTTTCTTGTCCTTATGAGCTTTTGCTTTTGAGAACAAAACATGGTTCTGGGAGTTCTCTCCGCACTCTACCCATCTGTATTAGTTGTATTTAGAGCTGCATTATTTGAAACTAGCATCAGGCCAGTGTCTGAGCTAGGAAGGAGAGCATCACGTGCACCGTGTGAGCCCAAACAGCACCCTGTGGATCTGTCTCATCAGAGCTCCTGCATTCCCCAGTGCTCTGAAGCTGAGCATATCTAATGTCCCTGAAAATTATTAATAGGTATTTCAGTCAATTTTTTTCCTGAATCCCAGCATGACTTGCATGCCAGCTCCTGTGACCATCTCATCTCAGTGATCATAAGGGTTGCTGTGTTATTAAAGTGGTTAATTAATCATGTTTACTTTTACTACCATTATATATTAAAATGTTTTACTAGGAATTTTTATATAGTTGTACATTGGTAAATTATACTATACCATTTTTGCTAAGCTTGTGAACTATTACTTATGATTTTTATTCAGCTTGGCAAGTTTGTATAGATTGTTAGTTCTGCTGTATAATTTGGATTTATTTCCCCCATCGTATTTCTTTTATGACAGCAGTGAAGGTCTGCAGTATAACCCCTGTTAAAATGTCCCACATTTCCTTTTCATGTTCTCTCTTGATCATAATTATGGCTTGACAGTTCGTATTTGCCTAGAAGAGGTGCTGAAGTACAGTAATGGAGAGTATTCTCCATGCTCGGTACCTTGTCTCTAATAGCAAGAAGCGAGAAACGTCTCCCTGGACCTGTTTTTTTCCCCTAGATTTCACAGGCACTGCTGTGAAATATCTTGGCCTAATACCAAAAGCAGGGGCTTAAAATCAGTCAGTTAAACTACAGGGGGGGAAAAAAGTCAGCGAGAAATGATATCTTCTTTAAGAGTGTTTTTAGCATGTATGTTTTTTTATTCTCCTTATGTTTTTATTGGCAGTGATGATACTGACTTGAATCAAAAGCTTGTCACTTCTTGAGTGGTCACATGGCTTGAGTAGCTTTATTTACTTTAAAATGTGAGAGATTTGCGAAACCTGTGTGGGCGTGTGTGGGCAGCCTTTTCTTGCCCATCGGTACAAGAACATTATCCCTTCCCTCCTGCCAAGCCTTGCTGGAAAACCCCTGCCCGGACTGGGGGCTCTAGTAGCCTTCCTGCGGTGGTTGGCCCATACTCACAGTGTTTTATCACCGGGTGGAAACTTTCAGCTGAGGTATCTTGTGCATCCTTCGTACCTGTAGGAAGCCTAGCTTATTTCCTATTAAGCAAAACAAACTCTTAATGAACTTTCTTGTCTCGGTGACTTCCAAGTTCTCAAAAACAACGTTTGTCCCTTGTTTGCCTCTGCTTCTTCCAATATAGTCTCCTCTACAGTGGATGAAGCATCTCTGGGGTGTTCTCCTTTACACCTTGCTGCAATGATGAGTATGTACAACTTTCTAGCACCCCCCAGTGTTGAAAAAGGCTGGATAAATTGAGGGGCTCGTCAAAAAGGCTGGATAAATTGAGGGGCTCGTCTAAAAGGCTTCAGCAAAGTCAACCTCAGAACCATGATGTGCTGTGGCAGATCTGTGGTGGTTTGAGTTTATAAATTAATTTTTGGGTTTGTATTTGAATGATGCCCTTATGTCTTACCCTCTTTTGAGCTTTGAAAGCATGTGCATGCCGCTGCTGACATTTTTGCTCTTTTCCTTCATGTTTCTTTTCATATTTCCTATTTCTTCACCAGTCTTGGAGAAGTCAGTTTATTTAGGAAGCCCTGCCAGACTCCTTCCTGGCTTCTCTGCCTTCCCAGAGGCACAACAGTGATTTGGCTGGTCGCATCCCCATTCTCTCTGACAACCGGGACTTCTTCATTTTAGCCTATTATTGGCACAAGTTATTTAAGACAATTAGATTTTTGTGTTTTATATGAAGAAGTTTTTTTAAGAGATTCTACCGTACAGAATGGTCCCTTTTATTGCTAATGTAGGTGACATGAACTGGTTCTATCTTTTAGTCTTTAATGTGATGTCCTTGCTTTTCAAAACAGTGAGCTGTTTCACTAACTCTCTTCAGTATGCATTTTGAGCAAATACAAAATCTCTGAATTTTTAACATTTCATCTATCTGGAATGTAGAAATATGTGCTCATTAGTGCACAAAATACAGTGCAAACATGGAAACTTTATGCACAAACTTCGACTTTGAAGGACTCCAACACACATACTGTTCTGAGATGTGATGCCAGTGGCTCTCCTAATTCTGTTGGGCTTTGTAGAAAAGCCTTCCCCCTCCCCTTTTGCCTGAAAAGCATGAAAGTAGTATCCCTCCCCGTCTACTTACTCCAGAATCCTAACTACATCTTTTTTCTAGGTAAACACCTAAATCTTGTAAATACAGGCTACAGCAAGGAAATGCTGGATGAGATTGACCCAGTTTAAACCAGAGGCTTATACCAGCTCACTGATAATGTGGTTGCCCTAAGAGGAAGAACTTAAGCTTTGTGTGATTTTTTTGGTAGGCTCAAATAATTAAACCAAGTTAAGGTTTCGCTGGGCTTGGCTGCCAGGCTTTGTAGTGTTAAGAGCAGAGGTGTGATGTGCTTCTCTACAAGGGAGAAGGCAGCCATGTTCTGTCGCATTGTTATTTCCAAAATGAGGGTAGCCTTTATGTGTCCAGCAATCTGGTTTAAGAACAGTAGCGTCTGACCTAGTCTTAACCTTATACCAGTGGTATTGCTCCACTGAATTTTCTTGCAACTAATTCTGATTCACAAGATGTATAGCAAGTGACCGTTAATTTTGGTTCAGGGTTGTTTTTTTTTCCTGATGTAAAACAATTCAGACTGTAGCTTATGTGCCATTTATTTTTCATCTAGGATGATTTTTTGATTTGTTCTTATAAAAGAACAAAGAGTCTTATGAGTATATATTTGTGGTATTGATCCTTTTCTTTTCAGCTTATGCATGGTATTCCATAGTTTCTTGCCCAGAGTGCTTTTTAAATATATTAATCATATTGTAATTCTTCCATCAGACTTCCAGGCCCCACCACGAGGGTGTCCGCTGCAGGCAGTGAGGCCAAAGCTCGTGGTTCTATTAGTGCCAACAATCGACGCAGCCAGAGCTTTAACAATTACGACAAATCTAAGCCTGGACTTCCCCTTCCAACACCAACAAGTAGCAATGACAAAGGTAAGCGCCTGAGATTTTGGCATCCTCGGATTTTTCTTAACGGTGGCTTTGTTCGAGGGAAATTGAATTTTCCATTAAGTTCCAGAAGTTGTAAGACTGTGTCAGAGCTGTGTGTTGTAAACATGACATTTACAAACCAAAAACCAGCTGGCTTTTCTTGAAAAACATGTAGTCCTTCTTTAATATAACCGAAGTTGTGACTTACTGTCCTGAAGGTACATGCAAAAAATAGCTTCAAGAAAAACTGGCCCTGGTAAAACATGTTTTTTCATTTTGCTCCAAGCACAGATAAAGGGGAGTGAATTAATAAAAAAAAAAGATGTTTTGATGAGTAGTTTGACAGGAATGAAAAATGGCCATTAAAGATTTTTTTCAATGTTTTTATATAATAAATAGTACCATTTGTTTTCCTTTCCTGCACTATTGTGGAAGATCCTTTAAGTTAAAAAAGTACATGATTTAAATCTAATTTCAAGAATTGTATAGCGTAGGGTTTGAAGGCAGGAACATGTTATAGTTTTATAAATGTTGCAGTGAAACTATGTCTATGGCAGTGCATCAGAAATGCTAAGTACCCTGTTCTGTCTGAAGAGCTGCTTTTTTGAGTGACATTTAGTGACTTTGTGTCCATTCACTAAGCTAGGAATCTGACAGCATTCATTAGCTTGAGTTTGTAGCTTTGAGCTCTGTAACGCGGCATTTGCCAGCGGAGTTTTGGGGGATGTGACGGGTGAGAACTGAGCAAATCACTCTAGTCTGACAGAGTCGAATTGTTGGCGTAGGCTGGCAGCTAATTCTGTATCCTTAACAAAGTCATTGCACTTAGGAAGATAGTTCAGCACTGGATTTCAGTATGATCTTCTTGCCGTGACTTGGCAGTCGCGCCCCTTAGGCTCAAGTCTCCTTGGTGTCTATGTATAACTTCTATTAACAGTAATGAGGATTTTGCTTCAGGAAAAAATAGTGGTCTGGTTCAACTTGCCTGTGGTTCTCATGCTTGTTTCTTTTCAGGAAATTGTGGTTTTCCTTCTCTAGAAACTGTTGTCCTATGACTGCTTGTCATTAGATTTTTGAGTCTTACCCCACTTAGCCACTACAGCCCAAAACCTCATCTTGTGATGATGGCAATGGAGGGCCCTCAGCATCCTCCGGGAACATTTTGAATCACCCTGATCAGACCTTGTATAAGAAGAAAATTACATTCACAGCTGAATAATATAATTATTATATTTATATTATAATATATGAGCATAATATGCTAATAAATTAGCAACATACTACCTTGGTAAGTCCATGCTTACTATTTTAGAAGGCACAGTATATAAACAGTAATGATTTAAGTGTAACATCAGCAAGTAATAGTAAGCTCTAAATCTGAATTAGATCTGGCTTTCAGTTAAAAGAACAAGCTGACAAGTTCCGGCATGAGCGGTAGAACCGATGAAACCTTGTTTTCCTGTGTAATATCTCCCCAGTCTCTCTCTCTCTCCTCTTTTGCTCAAGTCCCCTAACTACTGGACTGGGGAGACGCAGTGTGGGATGTGTCTCGTCCTGATGTGTGTGTTGGCTGGCTAGATGATCCTTACCTGCGTATGGATGGTATGCTGTTAGGCTGCACTGAAGAGAGAACTTGAACTATCTTGGTCTTTTCTCAGTTTACCAGGATTACTAAATAAGGAAAAAAAGAAGAAAGAAAAAAAAAAAAAGAGTCTTCACACGTACAGAGATATAACAATAATTTGTAAACTGAGTACCTTAAATATCAGCTGCTTTTAGGCAGACAGTTCTGTGAACCCTCGTTCCTCGTTGTAACCCATCTCTTCGGAAAGATAAGCTAGTTGCTGAAGAAGCATACAAGATCATCTACTTCCTATGAATGTTACAAGTGACTGAAAGAAAAAAGGTTGGGTTTTAGGTTGACAGCCTACATAAGTTGCATTAAATACTCAGAATTTTGCTCTGGTCAAAATTTCCAGTCATAAATTATGGTCTTAAAAAAAAAAATAATGAGGGCTTATGTAAGTTGAACTTGAACTTTACTTGAAAATATAATCATGACACAAAGTTGGTCTGCATCCATGAGAAACAAAAGCAGTTGGTCTGACAAATTTTTGGCTTATTTTAAGTTAATTGTAACGTTGCCAGACAAAGTTTATTGTCAAAGTGTTAAGACAATTCAAGTTTTCTGACCTATATCCTGTATTTTGCCTAAGGAAATGAGACTTAGATGACTATGTTGTATGCCAGTCTTGGTAAGTTTTCATCTCTTTCCCCAGTACTAACTCCGTTGCATGTTTTTGGAGAAGGAAATGGGAGAAAGAGAAATCTGCCTGTTTTGGCACGAGTGGTCATTTTGTGATCGAAGGTAGCCTTCAGGGTAGTACATTTGAATAATTTCTTACAAAGTGGGTTGTAATTTTCAGCTTTTATTAATCTGTGGCCTTCCCCTCCAAATGTGAATTGTCTTGTTAGTCAATCGTCTGTGTCTTGTGGCAATGACAGTGCATTAATTGAAAGAGAATACATCAGAAATGAAGAGGACAGTAAATGGAGCATGGAGGAATAGCTAGCTACTGGAAAATAAATAACCTAGGTTTTTTGTAAGATTCCATTAGTCAATTAATGATGAGACCACTGGTTTTCTAGAAATCTTGGGGAAAGGATTTATGTAACATTGAAAACAATTAGACTGTTACATGATAAGAAGATATTCTTGGATGCATGCACGTGTTGTTGTGAGATGCATACGGACTCTTAGAAAGGAGCACACGTGAAGGGATGTGAGTCTCGCTTCCCCACAGCTTACATTGTGTCTTCAGTATTTTATTTTGCTTTCTCAGTCTTCACATGCTGTCTGACACCAGTTTTGAGATGTGGAGAAGGGATACATTTTCTGTAGTTAGGATGACTTAGACACCTAGTTCAGTCCTATGGACACCTTCTTTGAGGTTAGGGCAAGATAGGTTTAACTTGCTTTTTGGAGTTAGCCCCACAGTTTATATGCGAAATTCCCTTCAAACTTACAGGAATTTCAGTGCCCTCATTTCTCACGTCATAAAATGGTAACATGGTATGGTACCTATTTTTATTATTGTCACAGTGATTAGCCATTTATAATTGCAGTAGCATTCTAGGCAGGGTATTTTAATGTGTGTAATTGCTGTTACAAGCTTTTTTTTCTTAAGAAAAATGCAATTAAAGTCTAATTGCATTTTTTTGATTGTGAGGAAATAATGAGCCACCGAGGCATGTGATTTTTGATGTCATCATAATCCCTTCACACAACTAGAGCCTTTTAATTCACTTCTGAATTGTCAGAGTCATTTACTCTGTGCATATGCAAGTATGCCTTTGGTTTTCTTTCTTGTCCTTTAATACCCTTTAACACCACAAGTGTGCTGTAGGATGAAAAACATCAGCCACCTCCCAAGGTCACTACTGAACTCATCTAAATTTTCGAAAACATTTCTAAGGAATGTAAAGAGCCAAATGAGCTTTGCATTTCTATGCCTGTATGTAAATTATTAGTTACTAGTTATCTTGAGGCTTCACATTACCATGTCCTTCTAATTGTTTAATATGATCACTAAACAGAAAATAGCCAAAATTTTATTCACGTGTGTAATTTAGAATAAAGAAGTCTATTTTTTGTCCATGGCAAGAAGGAGCAGAACTGTGTCCCAGGTAGCATCAAGAATGAAACTTCAATATTGAAGCATACAACTTCAGTAAAGATTTTGATACAGTAGATTTTCTCATGAAATTTTTTCAGTGTTTTGCTTAGCTACACACTGAGAGTCTTTTGAGACATGCTTTGAAAGCAGTCTGCAGTTCTGAAAAGTGGTGGGTATTTTTTACTACCTCTGTGCACCCTCATATATCCCCTGTCTTCACTGATCTTCAGGCACTCAGTTTTCATTTTGCAGTCTCAAAAATCTGGTAAAATTGTGTGGGAATATTCTGTTTATTACTTCCTGATTTGTATCCACAGTCTATAAAATCCCTAACCTTATGAAGCTATAGGGAATGTCAACTTAATATGCCATCTCCAGTATGTTTATGAAGTGAAATAGTAGTGTGACAGGCTTACATGCTTTCTTTTTAGTCTTGTCTTCTACTTTTGTTCCTGATATTTTATGTAAAATAATCCTACAGAGGGCAGTAGAAGTCTCTGGGAAAAATGGCACTTTTCCTTTGGATTGAATGTTAGGTAAAATGTCAGTAGAAAAAAAGCACTACCAGACTTCAACCATTTCCACATGAGATCAAAGGAAATGTTTATTATTCAGATTTATGAAGAAGGCAGTGCTAATAATGTCAGTTTTTTCTTAAATAGGTAGTATTAGGAAAAAAAATAATATATGCATACAGATTTATGCACTCAGATGAAATAAATAACTGTTTTAATAGCAGTATTCTTGCAAACTTACTTGATACAAGTCCCATGAGAGGGTTCTGAAACCAGATCCTGCTGACTCAGCTATAATCTTAGCTCTGCGTGTCTTGATTTCCAGGTATAGATATACCATACAGGCAGGAGAGTAAGAAAAGCATGTGCTCCTCTGGTTGATGCTCCTTTTCTTTTCTTTCTTTCAAATTTTGGGTAATCCCTTTTAATTTGGAACACAGTACATATTTAATCACTCTTTTAATACGTAAAGGGTAGTCACTGTATTCGCAAGGATGCATGGTGGCAGGGCAAGAGGCAACAGGCACAAGTTCCTTTAGGGGAATTTCTGTCTGGCAATAGGAATAAAATTCTTCGCTGCAAGAAGAATTAAACATTGGAGATGTTTGTCCAGAGTAGTGGTAGAATCTCCCATGCTGGAGGTATCCAGGACTTGACTTGACAGAGCCCTGGACAACCACATCTAAGGCCCTGCTTTCAACGGAAGGCTGGAAGGAAAGGTCTCCAGAGGTTTCTTCCTAGACTGTTCTATGATTTCTACAATTTAAATATAAGGTTAGTTTCTTAGAGTGTTAAAAGCATACTGGACATT